CATGAATAACTTTCAATTCATAATTAAAATAATAAGTTTTAATAACTAACATGCATTTCTTGTGATTACTAAATTTATTATTCTCATTATTATCAATTTTCCAATACTTAAATATATATTGAGAAAAAAAATGTAATTCACATATAACAATTCCATGGTTTAGGTCATTATTTCTCTCATAATATACAACTTATTTAATTTTTTGAAATAGATTTGTATTAGGGATTTTACAAGTTTTCGAAGAAAGGATCAAATCAAACTGAATAACACACAAATTATATTCATCAAAATTCTTAGATATATTTAGAATTTTTTTGCCTTTCTACTTCTCCATCTTTATACAAAAAATTCGAAAAACTTCTGTAGGAAGAAAGAAAGCAATCTAGTTCAAAATTAACTCTTTACAAATAAGTGTAGATTATGCATAGAACCTACTCTCATATACAAACTGAAATAAAAACCCCCTCGAAACAATTGGGTACTTTGACATTTATATTCAATTACTCAGTGTGTATCTAAAAGTAACTGCAATGGAGATGAATGGAAAAGTAGAAAGCCACCAAAACTTTTTCCCAAAAACTAATCTCTCCAAAAAAATATATCCCTATCAATTTGAACTTATTTGTTATTCAAAATGATAAATTCATTCGAATTCTTGAAACATACCTATAAATATTTCTCAATACTAGTAACTACCTGGGTTTTAATTACATTTTTTTCCAATATAGGGATCCATAATTTTTTTTTTACAAAAATCAATCGTATAAAATGATTTGGAATATCTGATTCCTCACTGATGATTATTGCTTTTTCCAAACCTGATTTTTAAACCAAAACTTTACCATTCTGCCACCATACATATTTGAAAATGAGCATAATAGCTACCGCTTTCCCAAGATAATATTTGATTCTGGTTGTTTCTTCTTCAAAATACATAACTGGATAAATCAATGGATTCTGTAGTTTTCTTCTCCTTCTATACTGTTCCTTAACTCTTTCTCATCATTATTGTTGATACTTTTTTATACATTTCCTTCAATTCTATTTTCTAATTTTCATTTTCTGCTTTTACTTCTTCCCTTACTTTCATTATATATTTCAGTTATTCTAAAATTTCATTTCTCGTTCTCATCTCCTCATATTTATTGTAAATGAATTCCATATTGTTTACTTTCAGAAATAACCGTTTCCAATCTAAATGTTTGAAGGAAACTTCATTTGTGTCCATATCGCAATTTTAGCGTTTTCTGTTGAGCTTTTTTAATTCTTTGATGAACTAACTAGTTTAGATCTTTACTCTCCAAGTAAGAACATTTTCAAATAAAACTATTTCTTACTCAATATCTGACATTCATGAATTTCACTAGTTCGGACTTCCATTGTCTACTATATAAAATGATTTGAAACACCTGAAACAACTGAAAAAGAAGAATAAAAAATGANGCCAAACGGTCATCTCCCACTGAACCAGTGAAGCGGAAAATGGAAAGCGTGGATAAGTGAAAGTACTCGAACGACCCATAAATAGTCATCTCTCGGAGGCATCAGTCCAGTCATCACCCGAAGATGATTGTAGATACCAACAATCGAAAAGTCGTGAACTAACGTGGCTTAACTTTGTATTTTTATTTTCTTTTTTCATTTCTTTATTTTTATTTAATTTTTGTTCAATTGTTCTATTTATACTTGTATTTTATTTCACTGTTATTTCATTTCAGGTTTTTGCTCAATATAATTTTCATTTTCAGCTATTCATTTTTTAATTCTTCTCTTTTAGGTATCTCAGGGATTTCAAATCATTTTATATATTAGACAATGGAAGTCCGAACTAGTGAAATTCATTATGAAACATTGTCAATCACCTTCAAACAAATCTGGCATTCAATTGTTTGGTTACTTTCAATTGTTTAATTCAATATTATCAACTGTTTGATAACATTGCTGTTTTAGATTTTCCAGCTTCTCTTATACCTGAGATGATATGATACAATTCTGAGTTCTCTTATGAAAAATGTTGTCTAGCAGGTATTTCAATAACCATCAAAATGATTCAACTTGATTGGGTACAGACATCTAAATTTTCAATTAATTTTCATTAGCCTCATTCCATGCTTATTTTCCATAATTCAGTTGTGACTGCATAAGTGAATATAATATTTCGGAAGGATAAAAACATATACTGTCTAAATCTTGTTTTCAGATAGGTGAACTTCTTTAACGTTGCATCTCATTGGTGAGAAAAGAGTTTCCATTGATCAATTATAAAATTGCCAAAAGTGATACTTTATGAATTTTTGGTTGGGACGTATCTTCCAAATCAACTACAGGCCATTGAATCATTATAAATTCAGTATATTAATCAATTTAAACAGTTGGTTAGAGAGTTATTTTCATATAATCACTGGTACGCTAGATACTGGTTCGAGTCCAGTCCGATTCCGTAATGTAATTCAATTTCAATTACGAAATTGAATGTAAGGACTGCGATGCAAAATATTATGGACAGACAAAAAGATCTATTAAAGTAAGATATAAGGAACAAATAGCAGACCTAAAATATGGAAGACCTGAAAAATCAGCAGTCGCCCATCACATTTTGCAGCAAAACCATTCCATAAACTGCAGTTCATTAAGATTAGTTAGACAAGTTAACAACAACAGGCAACTAGATACCTATGAGAGTGTAGAAATAAGTAAACACAATAATATTATGAATACCGATGACGGACCTATACCAAAGAGAATACTATATAGCTTGTTAAAATAATATTGTTGAGTTTACTGATTACTACATAAGGCAAAAATAAATTTAGATAGGCAATATTGTGAAATTAATTTTTATATAGCTGAAAATTGTTTTACATACAGCTCTAACAGTTGAATATATATTGTAAAATAATAGATAAGGCAAGATTGTAAAATTAATTTAGGTTGGTATACCTGTATGGGTGGTACACCTGGCTGGTTTACCTGTATACAGATATCCCATATATGGGATATCTATATAGCATAAATAGCGTTAGCTTGTCATTAGTTTCTAGTTTTATCTTCCTCTTTGAAATAATCACTTGGTGATCGAAACACGTGTCGAGGTGTTAAAAATAACGATTTGATGTTGGGAAAAACTCCAGTATTATTCATTACTAGGTACATCAAAGGTTCCAAACAGTGCATCATAAGTATCCTGTATATTAGTTTGCGGCTTGAACAGTCATTATTCCTAGAGCCCAGAACCGGAAATAAAGGTCTACAAATAGCCTCCCAATTTGACTCTGTAATACATCTCATGGCAGACTTTTGTAAAATTAGTAATTTAACTATGTGTCTGAGCTGCATTACTCTAAGATAAAGTACCATACTGAAAGTGAGAATGAAATAGGGAGTAAGTAATAAGAAGATAGCGTTGTTGTTTGATTTACAAGGTCTCGATTTTTTTTTAATAGCAAAACCAGCCCTGGAGAGTTTAGTACACAAAAATGCACATGTTGGGAACTTTGGAGGTGACTGTCATTTTGTACACCTAGAAATTTCACATTTGCATACATTTCTTCTTGATTAGCAGAATTATTTGGCCTATACAATCAAATTTCAGGCATACAATTTTACTCTCGTTCAGTATGAATTCATTGCTGGCGAACCATGTGTGTTGTTGTCTAACATCATCCTGGGCTATTTTGAGATCTTCATCCCTTTCTATACTGACTGTAAATTTAGCGTCATCTGCGAATAGTACAGATAATCTGTTATGTGCAGCTATATTATGGAATAGGTCATTAATATAAATGAGGAACAGCAGAGGTCCCAAGATTGAACCTTGAAGTACTCCCCTTTCAATTTGTAGGAATTGACTTTTTATATTTTTGCACTCCACTCCCTGTGTTCGGTTAGTCGAATTCGAAGTGAACATTTGTAGACATGTCTCACGAATGCCATAGTAGCTCATTTTGTTTAACAAAGTTGAATGATTGAATTGAAGGCACATGTAAGGTCCGTGAATATACACAGACAGTGTTTGTTTTCCTCAAAACTTTCTTCAGTAAATTTGGTAAGAGACGTTATGGCATTGGCAGTCGATACTCCTCTCCTAAAGCGATATGGTTCTGCTACAAGTATACTGTGAGTATCTAGATAGGATATTGTTATTATACAGTATGGATATTTGTTATAGATGGGTCTCTTTTTTTATAAGTGGGTAATACCTTTGCAATTTTTAATTCCGAAGGAAATTTGCCTTGTTTTAGACAACTGTTTATTATATTACATAATGGATCCATTACAAAATTCGCACATTTAAAAAAATAAACGTAGATATTCCATATTTATATCTCTTCAGTATTTTTATTCTTGAGTCCTATAATGAGTACTCTGATATGATCAGGTGTAGTTGGTATGAATGGTAGAATTGATGAAATTCCTTTTCAAATTATCCAATAAAGATTCGGCACTAATATAAGTTTTGTTCAACTCTTGAACAGCTCTTGTCACATTATTTACAAAATGATCATTTGGTCATCTACTGATAAGTCAGTAGGCTGAACTATCTTTTTTTCCTTCCTGTTTCACGATTTATAATTTGTCATACCTTTTTAATAATCTTCTGATTCTTGTAATGATTTCTCATTGAAAGTTTTTTTGGCAGATATTAAGATTCTGTATGCTTTTTTGAAATCTGTGTAATTTTTTTAATTTTCTGCATTTGCTTTTTCAGCTGCAGGAAAACCCGGAAAAACCTGCAGCACCACATCATCTGAAGATCTTGATCTGCTAGTAGCATGTAGTGACTTGGAAATCCTTCGAGAAACTTAATAATTGGCCATTAATATCAGACAAACCTAGTTCTAGAGTGGATATCATATAATATTCATAGATGAAAAAAAAATTGTCCAGGCACCTACCTTCATTGTTTTGTAGTAAATGAGTGTCAACAAAACACACACAATACGAGTATATTACTTAGAAAAAACATTCAGACTGCATACTGATACTACTGTTTTTTCCAGACAGCTGCCTGCATCAATTTTTTGCCAGGAGCAATATATTGTATTGATATTGGACAACCAAAAAAGAAAGAAAAGGAGAAGGAAAGAGAGCAAGTAAGAATAAAAAGTGATGCATCTCTAGTACCAAAGATTGCATTCGTGTCAACTAAAAAACTATACCAAGTGGAATTTACCAGCTGATATTTACATAACCCTTGTATGATGATATTTACAGTATGGGAAAAAGAAAACAAAATATATCATTAAACAATCGCTTTATACTTTTCCTTTCGAGAACATCTGTTGAAGCGATACATTATATTTTACATCGATTGTACAAAAAAAAGTATCACACAAATACACACAAAAGCAAAAAGAACATCATGTTAATATAACATCATTCTTCAAAAAATCAAGTGGAAATCCCAGAATCAGGAGAAAATCAGAGAAGCTGTGAAAATCCATTAAAAAAACTAAAACTTAATTGATGAAAGTGTTATCATTCCGCAATTCATACTAAGATCTATTTAGACAATTTCACTTTGATCTCAGCCATACATATGCTCAGATAATTGAATGTCTATTTTTTATGGTAAAATATATTCAAAAGATGAAATTCATTAAACAACAATGAAAGGAATCCAATCCGGTTTACATTTTTGAGATTTATGTTAACAATAAGAGCAAAAATTGTATGGCAACACAGTTTCTTAGATCAAAGTTCTGAAATCAAGACAGCGGGGTTCAAATAGGCTTTCACTTTTGAACTACTTATGTTCCAGATTATGCCATATCTATAGCAAAGGAAACTTTACATCTACTCACTGAAGTCCATTTCCAAAAAACACACAACAATTCCAATTAGGCTGTAGAAGTCATGGGTATCGATAGATCTTAATGAAATATGAGTTTTATCAGAACAGTTCTCAAGTTCTTATACCTACATACACACATATAAGCAGTTCCTCTCATTTTATTTTGTGGGTATATATTTCTTTTTCACCAAATATCAAACTAGTAGCATTTTTCATTGGTAAAACCAACGAAACTCAGTGTATTTATATATTTTTACTTATGTATTAAGAAATAGAGGACAGAGATACACTGAATATTCACTAGTTTTACTAATAGAACTAATAGATAAGATTCTCCAAAGCAGAACATTTTCGACAGAATTTATAACAATATAAATTTGAATAAAAGATATGTTAGTATAAAAAAAGTAAAACTATGAAATCAAACAAGTATTTTTTTTGAATTTCAATGGCTGGCTATACTCTATTGGATTTCTATTAGAATGCAGAAAAACTCAATCACTCTTTGGGAAAGAAAGGTTTTGACTTTCTACTTCTTCAACTTTATACAAAAAAAATGTGGGAATCTTCAAAAGAAAGGAAAGAGGCAATCAATTTGAATTTAACTCAATCACATTTTCGTATAACTTCAAACTTTTTGTTGGCAACAGTTATCAGTATCAGACAATTATCCCGAATAAACATTATTACAAAGCTTAAAATCTTTTCAAAGGTACCAATCATATTTTGCAGCACTATAACATATCATAGAATGAATGATTGTTATGTATTAAAACGTCCCTTTAAACCAGATAAAACCATTGAAGTTACTTTGAAAATATTTCAGTCATTTATATGTAGCAATAATCAAAAAACCTAAAGTTCCTACTGTTGTTGAATTGTAAGTAGTTTAAAAAGACACTTATTGGGTATCAAAATGCTATTCACATTGTGAAAGTGAATATTTATTTTCTTATCCAAATAGTGATATTTTTTTATAACTAATACTGATATTATTTTTAATTTGATTAATAATATTATTAAAGTTTTCAAATTAATGTTGATCTTACCTTCTTTCTTGGGTATCAGAATACCAAGACACATAAAATTTCAAATTCAATGTGACCTTCCAGAATTTTTGCTTTTATCAAAAAAACGAAGTCCGACTATATAGTTCTAAAATTTACTGAAGCTTCGTGTTTTTCAAGCGGTACTGAAGAATTACTTCCAAATAACAATTTGAATTTGCTAAACCAACAAAAATGAATGGTATTTGTCTATGCTTATAACTTAAAAAACCCTTTTGTGCTCTTGAATAGTGATAGCAAATACTCTCTTGCTGAAGCTTCTAGTTCAGGTTTACTGAATTCATTTCACACAGCATTTCGATTTTTTACATAAAGGATCATCAAAATACATAAACATAATAAAAATTTACTAACACAATTTACTGTAAGATATGTATGTTTATATGTACACGTGCGTGCTTTAAATAGGCAAAATGAAAAAACATTCAAATCATGCCTAAAAAACATGGAAACATTTTCCAGAATAAAAAAATGCTATTCACATCATTACAGAAAGACATATGAGTTAAAAAACCCTTCATTTCTAGAAGAAAAGTTTAAAACTCAACCTTCTGGAAAGTATCGAAAGTAATAAATTCAAAAATTCCGAATATCTAGCGAATGATCAAATTGATTTAAATAATTTTTTTGTTGAATTTGTTTTTACCAAGTAAGCTATAAACTAGTCTGTCTTGGATCAACAAAAGCAATACTTCTGAAAACTTTGAGAAATACAAAAAGTTTCATACAGTAATAAAGAAGCATTCAAATGAAAAAGGTAGAAAATTACATTTTGATTAGGTCTCAATATAGGTAAGATCCTCATCATCAAAGGCCACCTCAAATCAAAAATATTTTAATTATTACTGAAAATAGCCCCTCCTAAATTTTCATAAGATCCAAAATTGTAAATATATCGATTCACAATCCAAATTATATGATGGTCTATGAAGAACACAATATGGTGAAAGAAGGGAAGATACTTCAAAATATATATCAAAACAAATATAATTGCTAACATGACCATTTCAGATGTAGAAACAAATGGAAGAAATCAATTGAAATTAATTTAAGAATCAAATTTTCACAAACTGATTGAAATTGGTTATTTTATAATATAATTTTATTTGATAAACTGAATAATAGTTTGGTTGTCACTTTCAAAAATTTATTTTGGGAATTGATGTTCAAATACTGTTAGATTAATGTACATTCAGAATTGTATAATCAGTTGCTGCTGAAGGTATTGTAAATTTGTGATTATTGCCAGAGAAATTAAATTGATTAGGTATCAATATTCATTTTCAATGTCGTATCCTTTCCATTTTTTCCTATTCGTTGGCAGAAAGTAGAAAAACAAATCCTAGCAGAAACGTGGCACTCTTGATGTTTATCTGCCTTGGTTTTGAAGTTATTCTCTGAACAATATATGCCTATTCTCTCTGGGTAAATCTTGAAACAAGAATCCACCAATATTAATATATACCAGAAACAAAAACTTTACCCTATCACCAGAAATGCAATACTCTTCTAAATGAGCGTTTCACCAATCAACTTGTAGTCTTCAGGAGATGTAGATTTTTCTTCATTTCGTACAGACTTCAACTTGGTTGGTGAAACGCAGGTCAATAAGAGTATTGCATTTCTGGTGATTGAGAAAAGTGCTTGTTTTTTGTATTTATTCTATGTCGGAGTTTCTAGTTTCATCTTTTATCGCCAATATGAAGGTAGCGGTAAATTTTTGTCTGTTTCAACCTAGTGACCAAAGTATCAGTGCTGCCAATAAAAATTGAAATTTTCTCGTAAATTCAATATATAATGTAAAAAAATGGTACAACTAATGAATTAGATAACTTCATTACTAAATTCCAAGACAATATTTCTTCTGAGGTTAAATCTCGCCTTAATTAACAATTCTCTACATTATGAAAACTTCACAACTCAACAATTTCTTAGAGGGTTCCTGAATAAATTATCTTTAGATATATTTTCTAGTCTATTCAGAGTATCTATACCGGAAATGAACTTGGCTAAATATTTTTCATTGTGGAACAGAAATTTTTGAAAGTTTCCTTTGAATATAAACCACCCTTTAGATGCCTCATACACGAATCATCCCTTGGTATATCGTTCCACTAGCTCTCAAAGTGTCTGTACCAAAAAAAACTGGGCTCAATTTTTTAAGGATGTTTTCAAAGTCTCATTCAAGTATATATATCTCCCCATAGACAACTCCTAAATGAATATAAATAACTTCCTCAAGCTGTTTATAATCTCGGTACCAAAAGTGAACTCAGCCAATTTATAAGGACATTCTCAAATTGTTTTAAATTTTGTACGAGTATGGAACACACCTTAAATGACTCAATGGTATATGACTGTTGGTATATTGGTCCAATCTCTCTGCACCAAAATTAATGTGATGAACAGTTTTGAAGCATAACAAATTTTTAATAATTCAGTTCAAGTATAAAGTACTCCTCAGACTGTTCCTGATGTACTGCTTCTACTGCATTTCTAAATACCGTTTTGAGAGTGATTTCTTAATCAACTAAGCATCTTCAGGATATGACTAAAACTAAACTGTTAGATTTCAATACATTTATTCCACGCCAGAAGTTTATAGTTTAGACAAATATAAACTATGGTGCATGACTAAGGAATAGATCTTGCGTTGGCAATTTGTTATCAGATTGTGGAATCAATCAGTTGTACAATTTTATTTTTACATTGTATATCGAAGTTATTAAAAAAAAAATTGAAATCTAATCTGTAATTTGATGGAAATCAATAACACTATCCATGATAATAATTATGCAATTTTCACATTATAAATTTGATTCATGACGCGTTTCACCACATGATAGTTTCATCAGTTGAACTGGTTCAGAGTTCACCATTTCAACTGATGAAACTACTATGTTGTGAAACGCATCTTGAATAAAATTTATAGTACCTACTATTATACTATCATGGATAATATTGAAAAAAAAATTTTAATTTCCACCAATATTTTGGTGGTTAAATGAAACAAGCCGATGAAAAATGACTCCTAACTTGAGACTGGTTCATGGAACATAACCACATAACCAAAAGTTCATTGTTGTTTCAAATGTCAATCTCCACCTATTCATTCAAATTCTTTTTTTTTCAAAATATGTTTTTGAAATTTAAATTATAGTTTTTTCTCCAGAATAAGTTGAAAAAAGTAAAAAAAATCCAATGAGTGAATGATTTCTAAGACAGATATACTGAAAATTGAAAACACAGAATAATAATTTTCTTTATATAAAACTACTCTCACGATTTGCTCTCGTTTTACTGAGCATAACAATTAGAAAACACATTGTTAAAAATACCCAAATCAACTTTTCTTTCGTTCTGAAATACCCCCAAAGAATATTTTCTGTAGATATCCCTATGGTCTCTGACTTTTTCAGAATATCAGAGCAATACTATCACTAAACCATCAACCTAAACTTTCATTCTTATTGTTATCATGGTCCACAGTTGAATATTTTGGCAGTAAATTACATTAACAAAATGAATTTTGTTAAGGATGTCACTTTCACACAGAAAATATTACAGCAGTTTGTAAAGTTCAATAAAAATTCATATTCAACAAGTTCGAAAAATACATTTGCCTATTTACAGTAAGCAACACAGACAGACACTATTTATCCTAAGTTTAGTTTGCACTATTTTCATCAGCATAACTGCTTAAAGCCTTGGTGAAGAGTTATTTACATTTCATGCTTGTATTTCAGAAAATGATTTAGTGCAAAGTTACTGCCAATATCATTTGGTGCACTGATTTATTGTGTTGGCCATCAAAGGCTGACCTTACACTTATGAATCAAGAATCATTCAATTTATTAAAAAAATGCCAATTAAGTTTATCAGTTGGAAAAATGTTTTTTGAAAAATTTAATAACAATCTTTTTTTTACAGTTATTAAACATGAAAGCTCTCACAAGCAATATTGAGTTTCAATGGAATACAAGCACTAAAAGGTGTATTTTACAACAGTTCCAAATTGTTTAACATAATGTAGAGTGATATAAATTCATTATATAATATTTGAGTTCGAGTCGTTTAAATAAAAAAATAAATAGTGAAAAATTAGCCATATACACAAAACGAGAACTAATCAAGCTCCAAGCTCATCCACGTTCAACAAAAGAAAAAATTACAATATAAAAAACATAGTGCAGTCACAGCCTCTTCTGTAATTTGAGCATTACATAGTGTTATAGACAGGATTATTATGTCTGGGTTTTATATTTAACCTAGCCAATGGATGACTTTTTCCATACTGTTGCTGTTTCTTTTTGGCAGCTGTGATTACTGTAGCTGCTACCATCAATCCAGGTGTAGAATTTCTGACGACTGGAACTATCGGAGGTCTCTTGTCATCGTTCTTATCTACGGGAGAACCATTCCTATTAAGATTAGAAATAAGGGGTGTTTGTAAAATTCGGTTTTTTTTTTCAACAGTCATTTCTATGCAAGAGTATCGAGTATTGCGATTGGGTGTGAAAGGCCTACCAGTGGTATTATACTTGTGCCTACGATTTACCTGAGCGCCTTCTTTGTTTTCAAACAGTCCTATGAGGTTTTTGAAGTTTCCATCATCTGAAACACTCTTACTTTCTTCTTGCTTTTCTTTGACCACATGTATACTAATTGGTGATGATGGCAAACTACTAACTTTATGTTTACAAGATTTTTCAATAATCTCAATTTGATCCATATTTGTGCTTGACTTTGCCTCAAATTCTTTCTTTAAGTTACGTACTTTGCCTAAACCACTTGAACTGTCTAACATATCCTCAGCTTTTCTTGACATGTACTGTGAGTCTTGCAGATTATGTAAATTTTCTAAAAAAGTTCTGTGCTGTTTTACTGAAGAACACTGTGCTGTACTTATCACTGAATTTGAATTTTCTTTTGATAACTTGCTCACTGAGGAAACATTTGATGCTGAACGAGAAAGAGTTCCCTCTTGTGTTATCAACTCCATTGAAGATTGCTCGGGAGCACTTATTGATAACCTTGAAAAGCTGGAAGATTGGCGGTCCTCGCAAGGAATGTTTATTTTGTCTGATATGGCACTAGACATGATATTTTCCCTATTTGATACTGACTCAATAACAACAGTATTCACTGCTTCTGGAATGAAATCAAACAAAGTTTCAGAACTAGGAGTCTTGGTTAGAGAGACACAACTACTAATCAAGTGATCACTGGTATGGGGATTTTTGGTTGAGCCTCCCTCTATTTTTTGTTTTGATCTCTTAACAGTTCCTGGATGGAATGGAATATCCTCCTTTTCATACGGAAATAGTCCGCAAGAAGTGTTGTTTGATATTTCCGAGTTATGCAACAGCTTCTCACCTTTTTCATTCATATAATGAACCGGACCTCTAGACCGCATATCGTAAGAACCCCATGAGCTATTTCTGCTAGGCAAATTTCGAGTATCCCCAGAACCCCAAGAGCTATGTCGTGACAATTCACAGTTTTCATTCTGAAAGCCCAACGCAACTGCCGAATCATAGGAACTCCAAGAACTCTGCCGTGATGGAGAATCCCTTCTGAATTTTTCGTCAATAGAGAGCTCAGGAGCATATGCCGAAGAAATCACAGGAATGGTAGACATTCTATACTGTTTCTTTTCTTCACGGTCAAAAAATTTGTCTAACTGGTTCGAAAACGGATCACTGTCTTTTCGTAGGGCTACCGTTTGTGTGCGGAACAAATCAGGAACTTTAACTGTACTATTACAACTAGGTAAAACAGAACTTTCTGTTTTGACTGTTGTTGAGGAGGTCCACACAGTCTGACTTTCACTTACACTATTAATTTCAAAATCACAGACATCATTTAAATTGTCACAGTGAGAGAATGTGCTTCTTTTTTTCTCACCTGGATCCCAAGTGTCTTTTTTCAAGTCTTCAACTCTTTTGTCATACTTTTCACTATGCACTACATTACAGGAACTTTCACTCACTTCAATTGTCTTTCGCTGATCTGCCATTTCGAACTGAGTTGCAAGATTTAATACTAATTTTTTCTTGTCACAACTCCAAGTGGAAGTGGTATCATGACCAGGTAAGTGAACAATTTGGTTTGGAGAGACACTGTAGGATTCTCCGTTATCACAGGGCATTAATACGTGTGTGGCAAGTGGGGTTTTTAATTCCAAGGAATTCTGTAAACCTTTCATAGACTCCTTGGAGGAAGATTTTTGACTGATATCTTCCAAGGATATAAAAAGAGGCGAGGACTTTGTGGCATTAGCCATTTCTCTAGTAGCCAAATTGTCTGGAGACCAAGATTTTGGGCGGACACCCAAATGCTGTAAGTCATGTCCTGACATTGTAGTTTCGATATTATGTGATTTGGAAAATGCCTGAATTATAGGGGTAGGTTCACTATTTGCCAACACTTTTTCATTTTTTCCATTTGACCCTGGTGATTTGAGGTTAGTTTCAGACTTTGATCTCTGTAATTTTTCCTTGTTTTTCATGGCATCCAAAATACCCTGATAGGTTTCCAACTGTACAAGGAAACTAGTGTTTGGCTTAATACATGTTCGCTTTCCTTTTACGTGTTTTAGAGCTGTGTCAAAATCCCAATTGCAAGCCTTCATTGCATAAGCTATTACTACAGATGCAGATCTGCTAATTCCCATTTTGCAGTGAACTAATACTTTCGAACCCTTGTCTTTGGCTTTTGTGATGTATTTGTAAGTATCATCCCAATACTTTAAGAGATCAGTTTGTTCGTCATCATACACTCGAATGTTCAGGTAATCAAATGTACCGGGAAAGAAATTATCAATTTCTCTGGTAACATTCAGGATATGGCCAACCCTGAAAAAAAAGACATACATTTAGTAAACTGATATAATTATTTCAATCAAGATAAGAATATGGGTTATTCTCAGTAGTAGTTGTCAACACTGAAAATTTTATTTCTCACTCAGGTTTCAAATGTCTAAAGCATCACTGACAAAAATATTTAGAATTTATAATTTCATGATTTCATTTGATATCATATAATTTCATATAATTTATCATATGTGAGATATGCAAAAGGCAAAGAGGTTAGAGGTTATTCACGAAAGAAATATCGCCAAAAGTTCTTGTACAGATTTTATAAATTTAGATATTGATTACAACTGGAATATTTTCTAATCGAACACTGTACAAAAAAAGGTCGGGATAAATCTTCATTTTCACAAAAGTAACCTCTCTATGCAGAGTTGGTGAGTTTTTGTATGATTTGTAGGAAACGAGTTTTAAAAAAGGTCATATTTTGTCATACAATATGAATTCACATATAGTCAGTGGGCATACTTGAGGATATGCTGTTGGTTACCTCGTTCACAGGCAGATGGGGCGATGACAAATCTGTTGTTTGTTGTTCGCTTCAGTCTAGTTCGAGAAATGATACTCTGAAGGAATTCGATTTTCAATTATCGGAAATCATTGACTTTATGTTGATTATAGACTTGCACTGACGAGTGGCCAAACAGCCCGAAACCGGTCTGCAGGTGTGTTCCATAAATTGAAAATATTTTGCGGCAGTTGTATCGTCAACAGCATAAACAGGAATAACTTCAGTGAAGAATCCTGCACTAACACCTGTCGGATATAATCCAACGCCCTTCGTGGTATTAGCCAGGGGAGTAGTTGTTTTCTGATATGTGTCGGTCCATTAACCTACAGTGTAGGGAGTTGAGACTGGCCTGAACAAATTGTTCCTTTAGATGACATATGAATTCACGTGAGATCAACTCCATGTCCTTTTTTCAACATCATTCATTGAATATACAGGCTGGCTTTATAAGGGGTTACTATTAAGGATCTTGTGAACCCTCACAGATAGGTCAGTTGATTTATAGAAAAGATGAATATTCCATAAGTGAATGGTGTGATGAAATCGAAAATAGCAGGAGCCGTTTTCAAAATGAAGAAAAGAATCGCAATGTGATTTTTTTCGTTTTGGTTGTTTTTCAAAATACAATAAAATGAAGGATGAAGTTTTTATGTGGGAAAGAAAGTTTTTGGCTTTCTACTACTCCATCTGATACAAAAAAAAGGGATGAGAGAATCTTCCAAATAAAGGAAGGAAGTAATCAATTTGAAACTCTATACATGAATGTAAAGATCATGCAAAGAAGTAACTTTCAGACACAAACTGAAAGAAAGTCCTCCTGAAACAGCTACTTTCATATAAACATTGAATTACACGAAAGAAAATAATTATTTCGAAACAAATACTTCTATATGAACACTGAATTATACAGAAGATACTTTTCTCTACTCAGTTTGTATTTCAAACATTTGTTGTGGAATAAGAATCAGATATCATTCACATGAGTTCTACTTTGAATGAATGGTTGAATTATGTCATATAAAAGTTGTGGATGAAAAAGTGTATCAGAAGGGTAGAGAAATAATTAATCATGCTGTGCAGATATAATGATGATTTTGACAAGCCAATATCAATTGTGGGAGAACCTTTGTGAAGATAGCGCAAGCACTAACTACGCCTCGGATGAAACAAGAGTACTTGGAGTATTGGAAAAAATTGTCGCCATTCTCAGTTCAACGCCAATTATGATAAAATTTGTGATTCATTGAAATACGTCGACTGTTTTTTTTTAAATCACGATTAACACCCATGACAAAGCACAAATAGGCAGAATCTTAATTTACTAACCCATTCTTTTGCAATTCCTCGTAATTGGAAGCATTCCATTCGGAACCCAAGTACACGTGGTCGAATATCTCGGTCGGGGCGTCCATCTGACCGAGAATCACCAGTATTTCCTGATCAATGAAAGACTTGTACGCCGTCAAATCCATATCCAACTCTTCTTCCACCTTCGTTCTGATCGCCTTGCTAGTCACCTCGTCCAAATCAACGGACATCATAATCTCCTTCAAGGTAGCACGTATCACTTTTTCCGTTTCCTCCGTTTCCGATGGCTTGGTGCGAATGGAATCAGGCGAAGGTGGTCGCTTCGACTCTAGGTTATCCATGGCGTGCCACTCGTTGAGGCAGGATCGGTCAGATTCGATTCGGTTCTCATAGTACTCCACCCAAGAGTGCGTCAGGCCGCCCTGGAAATAATTCTGCTCTCTCGCTTTGGCGCTCACTTTGTGTAAAGTTTGTAAAGCTGACCTGAAAAAAGATAATGTCGATTAGGCAAAATTCGTCATCCACTATCAGGATAGAAAATTCGCTAATTGCAAAATCTGGTGCTCCACATGCATGTACCTATCCGAATGGTCCCAAAATATTTTTGTTATATAGATCAACGTAGAAGCAGACTCAAAAGTTGATAAGATAACATAACTCTATGTAGGGTTGAATTTTTTCGTATCAAGAAACAAAGGCGCACTCAGAATTTCACCACCCAGGAATCTGTTGGGGCAGAAGAGAGACTAAACCGAGGGCAAACCTGCACATTTAATTTTGGCGCCATGTGAGTTATTTTTGCTCTGAAAAAGTTGAATAGTTTTCCCAGGTTACAAAAAAAAAACAAGAACTTTCAAGTGGTTCTTTACATATGGAATAAAGTACGAACGTTTGCTTGTGAGAAATTAGAAACTAAATATTATTGATATTTTAGGTAACGTACACAGATGTCCATTTTGGGACAAAACAATTAACTTCCATTTTTCGATATTGGCAAATAAATGAGTAATTTCAAACACATCGATCCTCAAATGACAAGAAACGATTGCTGTGAGACACTCTATCACTTTCCAATGTGCGACGGCAAGAAAACCACATATCAATAGCACGAGTCTTGAAATTATTTATCACCTACGCAACAACTACAAAGGACTAACGGACACAGAACGTCATTAAATGAAAATCGATTAGTGTGAAAGTCGGTAAGAGTATAAGTTCGATTATTTTCGAACGTTCATAATCGATGTGTGTGTCGTTAGGCTACTGACACACATCGATTTTGGACGGTCGATAAAAATGCGATTGCACTATTATCGATCATGCGATATTTTCACACAAAACAATTTTTGTTCGATGACGTTCTACATTTTTTAGCCGCTTATAGGGGTTACACGAGAGAAGAATACTTTCAAGACTCGTTTTGTTGCCATCTTATTACACCGCGCCTCATAACTGAATGTTTTGAAAATTCAAAAATATTTGCGATTCTCACGGCAGTTATCCATTACGGTAGAAGTGGCAGACTATCGCTTATGAATGTACACTCATTTGATTTCTATCGTGGCGTCATTTTATCGACCGTTCAAAACCGATGTGTTTGTCGGGACACAATTCCTAAATTATCCTAGGAAAACAATGGCCATCCTCTTCTGGTTCGGTTCTGTGTACATTTAATTTCTGTGAAGAAGATTATATTTAATTTCTGTGAAGAAGATGTCATTGAAAGTTATTGAAAACCACAGTACCTTCAATCCATCCTAATTTGCTTGAGAAATTGTTGAAACTTGTGACCTCACTGAGAACCAATCCCATTGAAAATAGTCAGAAATTATCAAAAATTATTAAAAATATAATTGAGGAATTTTCAAAATGTTAGTTGAAGAACATACTCAAAAACTGAAAATTTATAAAGCCAGAAAAAAATAAAAACCATTTTCCGAAACTTCTGTTTTTCCGGATATCTCCGGATATACTCGG